CAGATTAAACAAGTCTTGCCTGGCTGAGTTAAATTTTTAACAGACAGATATGAGACTGGTATCAAGGTAGTTATTGATTGTATTAAAACAAATGAGAAAACAATAAAACCCAGTAAACTTTAGGTGTGTTTATAAATATATTCTATGGTTAAGTCACTAAGCTGGTTTTAAAACTGAATTAAATCTTTCTTTATGACAGAAGTAGCCCTCCTTAGTGGGTGCACCAGTCGTCTGTGTATAGTCCCTGTCGTACCTCCCACTGCCCTCTGACTGAGTCAGAGAGGAGCATCAAGTCCTGGAGTTGGGGCCCAGTGCAAAAGGCCCCAAAACCCTCGACTGCACTCAGGAACTCCTCCAGGACAGCAGGCTGCAGAATCTTTAAAGCTCTCTGCACAGAAAGACATAAAGCTGGACAAGCATACACATACAAACGGGCAGCTGTGCAAAGCAAAACACCACAGACCTTTAAATAATGTGTCTTAATTCTAAAATTAAATTTTGAGTTTCCAAGGTCTGGATGTATTTGCTCTGTTTTAAGCAATTGATAAGCAACACATGTCTCACACTTATTTAGCAGTGCAAAAGTGTTTTTTTGGCAAATGATGAAAATGAAGTTCCAGTTAGGGTATTTAAAAGTAAATCACTGTAAATTACCATTCATTCATTTACATTTGTTGATTTGACATGATCATTTCATGTTAAAAATTTTACCTGTTTTCTTTTGGCTTGCGACTCTGAAAACTCTTTTCCACCAAATAACTTGATGGCTTGCTGAATGCGTCCATGCAGACGAAACCTGGCCTTCTCCAGTCTGCTTCTCGCCATTGACTGGGCTTTTGAGTGAACCTCACTGCGGACCATCACTGGTGGCTGTGGAGATGTTTTATTACTCTGTAGAGTGTTTGGTTGCCCTCTTATTCTGGATTTCGATATATGAGTTTGTGAAGGGGATGAGCTTTCCTTGTCCTCTGGAAGTGGACTTAGTAGACTAGAGTGAATATGAGGTACTGGTCCCCTCAAAGGCTGAGGCAGCATCTGTATTTTGACATGGGGTATAACAATGGTGGCTTCATCTTGAGTGTTCATGTGCTGGTTTTTAGGCCAATCCTGGAGACTTTTTGTCCTTTGTTGAGACATCTGAGATGGAACCCCAGGTGAAAGGTGATTTGGGTCCTGGGTTTGCAGCAGAACATTCCCAGTCTGGTCAACATGTTTGGTTCTGGCCACAACAAATAACCCTTCCTCTGGCTGCCTCTGATGGGCTGTTTCAACACGCTGCAGAAACCCAAGTGAACTAAACATTCCAAGAATCTCCTAAAAAAATTAAACATGTACAAATCACATACATATATGATGTTGAAGAACTGGAAAAGTTACCATACATTCATTTAACTCACCTGGCAGTGGGATACAGCCTCTGAGATCCTGTCCTGAAGGCCAGTGGTACTGAGGTGCTGCAGAGGAGAGGTTTTCTGTACTCGTGCCACAAGGTCCTGCAGATCCTGTCCCTCAGCTACAACCTGGCCCTCTAACTGCAACCCTCGAGAGACCAACACCTAGAAAGTTTACAAAGCCTTTATTGTGTTATATGTACTGTATTGTTTCATTTTTTAGGATATAAAGCATACGATAACATAGTTTAACAATATTATAGGACACATTTATGCTTTGGCCCAAGTCACGCAAACCCAATTTTAGCACTATGTCAATGTGCATGCACCAGCCCTACCCAGGTTAGGGAGATGCCCCTTTTTCCCCTGACCCATAGAGAGTCCTTGCACGATTAAACATGGCCACAAAAGATAGTGAAAAAACTCAGAATATAATCTTAGAATCATAAACATTATTTGTGATTGACAATCATTTGTGAATTGTAAATTCTGTGAAAAGGACCATAAAAACATAAAAAACAAAAATATTAATAAATATATTAGAAGATGCACAAAGTTTTGGCTTGCTGACTTTGGCTGCAGGTTCCAATGAAGAACGTCCTCTGGGCTTTTTCTCCTTTAGGTGCTGTTGACAGTCCAGGGCCTTTGTGCCCCAGTGGTCCAGCTCAGCTAGACGGCCCTCCAGCCTGGATGCAGCCCGCTGCAGTTCTCCACAGGTCCTCTCTGCTTCACCAAGCATCTGTTGTAGAGGTAAAAGCAATTTTACCTCTGGATTCAATCTGGGATTGAACCCTATCCTTAGTTTGTTATACAACAATACAGGAGAGGAGCTCTTTGTACACGGGATAATATTTAAATTATAAACCCAATAATTGTTGTAATTATACTGTAACAACGGCAACAACCGTATTGTTTCCTCTTCCTAGTCTTGCATTTTTGCAACAGGGTACCTGTGGGAGAGTTTGCTGGAGCTTCTCTATGTTGCTTGTTTGAAAGTCTGGAGATGGACTAAGAGATGAAAGGTCCACGTCTGCCATCTTTTTACTCAGGAGCTGAAAGACAAGAAGTAAAATAGAGAGACTAGCTCAGGCATGCAAAGATTTAAAAACTGTTTATTTTGCTGTTGATTTTGATCTACCCATCCCTACATTTGTATTCAACTTTGCCAACCTGTAGTTTCTGTCTTTTAGCCTTCAGTGCGGCTGAGGCCACCTCCAGTGGCTGCCTCAGTAGCAGGCTGGCTTCCTGGGTCAGTGAATGCACCATTTGAAGACACAGTGGACCAACACTGGGCTCCGAGGATAGTTCCTAAGAAAGACATGCTTCATGAATAGCAACTTTTATTGATGCCTATGTGTCCTGTTAGGTTACCTGTTATGTCACATTTTGTTTTGTCGCATTCAAAATAAAATAAATAACACTGGAAAAAAAGCTTCAGATGAAAAACTACAATACTATTTAAGCAGATCCTGGTGTAAATTTTATGAATAATAAATAAAATTAATTTCATTTATTCATTTATTCATTTATTCATTTAATCTGAACTGTACCTTCATGTACAGTCTATGCCACTGTGGAAAGAACAGTGAGAACATGTATACTTACAAACATTGTCCTCTTCATGTATTCAGCCCACTGCATGTTGACCTTGCTGAGTTGCTCGGCCAGAGCGAGACTGATTGAAGATTCTGTCACTTCGATGAGCCAGTTCCCCGCCTCGTTTAACTTAGCCTGACATGATGTCCACTCACTCATATCCTACAGCAACCCAACCAAAAGATAGAAAAATAATGCGAATATAAGTTTCTCTTAATTTGTGATGCAAGGGGGATATAGAGTGATTAAATACATGCAGCTTTCAAACACTGAAGTCATAACGGAATCTTTCTGAGTTATCCATTAACAAAATTCCCAAACAAACAGGCTGAGGATACCTGCGTCCCCACAGATGAAGACTGGGCGTCTGACTGTATCTTCTGTGCCAGCCATGTCTGTAGAGAAGTCAGGCAGTTGTTGTAAGTCTCCCACGCAGACACCACTCTCTCCATCGTCCCTTTCACAGCCGTCACAGCCTGTGCAACCAATTCAGCTTCACTTCCTGCTTCTTTCACCTGACGAGTAACATGCTGGGAATCTTCACCTGGGGAGTGAAGAATGTGTGTGTGTGTGTGTGTGTGTCAAATAATAAGCAAGACTTCTGTGCTTACAGAACTCTTCTCATAAACATATTTAGCTCATACCTAGCGCTGCCTTGCCGGTGTAAACATTTGCCTTCTCCTTCAGGTTTTGGACAGCATCCATCAGAATCAAAAGCAGGCCTTGGCGCTCCACGGTCTCCTAGACAGCAAACCAAAAACCAGAAGTCATCACTTTTTCTTCAGTAAGCTAAATGTGTCAAATGACTCACTAGATTTTAATTATGTTAACACATTTTTTCTAGAATCCTTTGGAAGTTTGATTATTGGTGTAACAATTTTCTCTCTCTTTCAATTACTTACATGCCAGTCCTGCAGAAGCACAAGAACTGTCTCCTGGGATCTGTAGGGAGCTTTCCAGGTCTGAACCTTTGCACTGATGCGGTCCAGGAGATCCAGAACAGTGTGACGGGATTCCTGGTATTCCAACTTGATCCCTTGATACTTGGCTGTGACTCGAATATTGGTTAAACTGTTGTCAAATAAAAAAGGTGTTAATGCATTATTTCATTATTTTAGTGGACCTTAACTGCAGATGCTTTTAATGAGACTTAAAGATTGCTTGGTTTAAAGATCCATTTGGGAATATTGATTTTAATATTCACGCACCGTCTTGTTATCTCATCAAACTTTTCAATGGGCACTACTACGTTCCCCGAGTCATCAGTGTTGTGGTAGGTATCAAGGACATTGACATGGTGGTTCATCTCCTTAATTAAAGTCTAAAAAAAAGGGAAAACAAGATTATACACGTTTTTTGAGAACAGGAAAGCTCAAATTTGTTCTGTAGCTTCAAAATAAGAATAACCTTTAGTGTGTCTTGTTGAGCTCTTGCTTCTTTAGCAGCATCTGCATGATCTTTCCCTCTTCCTCCCTCTTCGTGTAGTGCTGCCTCCGCACGCTGCAGCCACACAACAACTGAGTCCAGAGGAGGAGGAAGACTCGAGTCCAGGTCTGCTTTACGTCTCTGCAGCTGAGAAATGACACACACATAACACAGCCTGGTAAAAGCACAAAACCTGGTCATTGCAACGTTGTCTAATGAGTCCTACTCACCTGGGGAGAGACAAAGGAAAGGAATCAGCAAGAGCCATTAGAGTAAACTCTTTTCTCATTAATTCAATATTGCATAATGATTAATAACTCCCTTACAAATGCATAAAAACAAAAAACACGTACAACAGCACAGGACGCAATATAGGGGGCAGGGCAAGAGTGACTCAAAACTTTCTGAGGGCAGACTTTGACCCTGCTGCTTATCATCCACAGTGGATTACCCCACCTCCTCCTCCAGACGATCCCACGCTGTCCTGAGAGCACACTGCTCTTGGCTCAGCTCAGGGCGGCGTCTTATGGCAGCAAGGAGGGTCATCACTGGTCTCCTTTGCTCAGTGAAGGAGTCAGCAAGGTTCTGAAACATCTGATAAACCAAACACAGTAACAACTTCTAATCGCTGTACAACAACACAAAATAATATACCCCCATTCATTTTTTCTTCTGTAAGCGCTTGTGCTTTGCCTTACCTGATATTTTTCTGCAAAGCTTGATTTCTCTGTAGCTGTCTGTGACTCTGACAGTTCCTGGTAGGCTTGCTGCAGCCAGCAAGTCACCTCTAGTGCTCGCTCACTTGGAGAGACCTACATTTTTAAAATTCAAACTGTCAGTAACTACTTCTGTGTCCATCAAGGTGAAAAACAACTTTAGAGCTACATAATCAGTGGACAAATGTAAGAAGTATGCGCAATATTCATGCAGACCTAATAGTTTTTCTCAACAGTATTTCAGCTCTATGAAAAACAGCAGCAGAAAAACAATTTTCAAATTTAGGAACGTGCAGGAATAGCTAATTACAATGTAATTTACAGAGTGGGAGAAAGACGTATAAAAATTGGCAAATATTAATTAAAGAAGGACTTTGCTTTGTGTATGGCTACCTGACGTAGCGGTGAGACAGAAACTGCTGGAGTGAAGTGAGCAGGCAAGTTCACAGGCGAGAGAGAAGAAGGCTGGACCAGAGGAAACAGCTGTACCACCGCCACCAAAAGAGAACGGGGAAAATAATTAAGTTTCATGCAGGAGATAGTGGGTTCAAGCTCTAAACAGGGGAGGGAAGCAGCAGAGGAAGAAACAGTGGTAGTATTACTCTGAACTTACTTAAGTTTAAATGTAAGAGAGGAAGATGTAGATTTGACTGAAAACAATGATGTCAGCTCTGCAGGTCTTTAGAAGGTTTAAAAGTCAACGTGTCACTGCAAGTATAAATATTGGTTTGATTTCCTACCTGCAGATGGTCATCAGGTGCTGGCATGTCATTGGAGTACTGCAGAAACTGGGCCACGTAAGTCATAATAGACTTCTCATCAGGGTCTTTAACATCAACATCTGTGGTGAAGGTAAATACACACAAAGGCTTTACTGTTGTTCAGTCGACCAGCAACTCTGCCCAACTTCCATTTTAAATGATGCTGTCTTAAATTACATTAAGCACAGCTGTTTTAGGTTTGTTGCTCAATAATCTAATACATTAGTAACCAATGAAAATTAATGAACTACTTTTTGCTTCCAATGAGCAGTAATTTACCAATTTCCTTATTCTAACTATTCAATTGCAGCCACAGGTTACACCTTCTCCTAGGTACAGAAATAAAGGTAACACAGTTGTGTCCGTGGGAAAAAGCGTGAACAAAGTAATATAACTACCATAGTCAAAGAAAGTTAAGAATCCATGATGATTTCTGATTGGTATTAATACTTTGTTATGCACTTTGTTATTAGGAAATACTGTGAAACACTAATTAGAACTCAACAGCGCTACTTAATCAGCCTCACCCTGGGGCTCTAGCAGGCGGGGGATGTGGAGCTCTTGCTCGGCCAGGAGAAACGCCTCTTCCAGGTTCTCCTGGTTGCTTCTGGACCGGACCAGTGAGAGATCCACCAGCTGTGGTCTGAGAGAGCACAGGATGGCCAAGAAGGCCTCTCCACTTCTCCAGCTTGACTTAAAATCCCTCATACTGACAGAGCAACCAACCCTGGAGACAGAAAGACAAATGGACAACTAAAAAACTAAAGCAAAAAAAGTGTTGCTTGGGATAAGTGGAGTCCATGACATTTTTATGAACACCCTAATGCAGACAAACCAAAGAGAGTCTTAGTCAACCTTGTAGCAACAGCAAAGTCAGTGCTTTGATTCAAACATTCCTTCTTTCCTCCATTTTTAACTTACACTTACACCCTTTCTTGAATTAATCACCAGCCTTTTTTAAGCATTCATATGTATGGTACATAACCTACTTTTTGCATTGGTCCCTGACCCACATAAGCAGGGTCTTCTTGGCGGATACTCGGAAGCGTCTGTGGAGGGGCGATGTCCGGCCTGCAGGGACCGGACTCGCTGGGACTGGGCTGCCAGACCAGGAGTCCAAGCTGGTCAGAGAGTCGAGGGAGGAATGACAAGAGCTGAAGGAGAGAGTGCAGGCCAGCTCCTCAATCTAAAACAGAGTGTATGAAACAATAGATATATTGGATATTAAATTATCAGTATCTTTTAAATGATACAAACATACATGTATGTGAAATCTGTCAGTACAGGCTACAGGCAAGTGCCTTTTAAATTATTAAGAATGTATCATAAGATGCTGTTGCTTTAGTTTCTCCTTCTGTTTCTCTTTCTACATCCTTTTTCCCAATAGCAGAAGCAGAAGCAGATTAATATGTGGTTACATTAGTTCACCACTGATACTCACATGACAGTGGAGGATGATGGTCCATATGAGTCCAAGGATGATGGAGGGCCGTCCATCAATGATATCTGAGACGTTTATGTTCACCAGTTTGATCTACACCAACCAACCACAACAAATGTTAATAATACAAACTGCAAATTCAGGTACCATGTTTTTGTGTGTAGAAACTTACTGATTTTTTCTTTAGAAAGTTGAGTGCTGTCTCAATGTTGGCCCTCTGCTGGAAAAACCCACGGCCCCTTTGTCTTTTCTGTGGAGACAAATTACAGCTTTATTGTGGTTATAATATTCATTTGAGCATGTTTTTACCCCCCGAATACATGTTGTTGCTGTTTAATTACAGATCTTTACTGTAGGAGGAATTTGAAATATATTCAACTCAGTGATATCAGAAGCACGTTGTAGTAACTCACCATAGGTTGGCCACTCATCACCTCCAGCAGGTTGAGCAGCTGTGACCCATCCCTGAGGTCAGAGAATAGGTCTGACACAAATGAGGGAGGGCATATCTGCAACAATGCACACAATTAAGTCTTATTTAATTACTATTAGCTACTGATTTTTAACCATGAAAGCATCCACCACATTAAAAGAAAGTCCAAACATATTGTCAAATGTGCTCCGCACAATAACAGCATCAAGATAAATGTATCATCATTGGAGACCTTGTACAAATATAAATTAGATAATGAATTAGACAGCTGTCTATAAACAAATATAAATAACCCTAGTTCACTCTGTCATATTTGATGGGAAATTATCTGCATCATTTTATACAAAACAGGAAGTTGTTCAGGGTTTCCTCATGTCATGTGGTAGAAAAAGTGAAAGGCTGATGGAAAAATGTTTATCTTTTTGCTAACCACAAAAGAAAATCTTAAGTGCAACAGGAAGTAAAAAGGTTTGTGGGAATGTGATCTACTGTGTGGGAAACACAAACACTGTATATCAACATTTATTTTACAATGACATGAAACTTTTAACTGCTTCACATTATCGGCTTACAAATACATCCCATAACCCAAAAGGTCAGAGCCTACAAATTAATCCAAGACTGAACTGAAGTGCATTCATTCAAACGTTTCTGGGTCAGTTATAGACGGGGTCACAACAGTGACTCTGCTGTTGGGGGTTGTTAATGGACGCAGATAGGTGTAACAGATGGCAGGTTATGAACCAGTGGTTTTAGTGTGCAGTCGTATGGACATGAGGTTATGAAGAGGCGACTGGATTCAGATTACATGCTGTTCTGCTTCACTGAAGCACTATTTATACTTCAGGCGAGAGTCACAAGCAGCTCAAGGTCTCTTTCCAACGAGATCCGTGGTGAGCCGCTTCACTGCACCTCACAGTCTGAGCAATGAGTCAGCAAGTCTACAGCTTGCTTCATATCACTTACAGCCCTACCACAGCATGACATCATGCCATTTTTCCACAGTCCCTAGGTTGAGCTCATCAGAACAAATGTTTTGTATATCTTAACGCTAACTCTTGTCCAAATATTGTATATAGGAAAGCAGTTCAACTCCGAGCAAAAAATTCAAATCAGCACTTTTGATCAGGTTTTGCTTGAGACGTCTCCTAAATTATAGGTAGGTTTTGGAAAATATAGAAGACAACTTTTACTGAACCGTATGTGAAAATAAAAGGTCAATAGGTAGACTATTTAAAATATTCTGAAAAGTAAAGTCATGCAATACATACATACATTCTTACATGTTAACTCATGCTGCGAATAGCACATAGACTTGCAGCGTGCAACATTTTCTCTTCAGTACCTTTCTGCATCACTACTCCAGCCTCTCTCTCCACTAATATGCTCCAACTGCCATAAAGATAATCCTCGGAAGATATATCCCATTAGACAGCTGAGTGTAAACTTTTGTTTGAGAGTATCTTTGATAAAGCACCAGGTCTTTATTTAGTTAAGAATAGCAGCAGTCTGTTACTACCCACAGTTAAAACACTTCTTTGAGAGGCTGAGATACGCAGTTTCTTGTTTTCTTCAACAAATGCAACAAAGGTTCCTGTTCATTTATCTCATGAGTATAACACATGAATATGATATATCAAAATACCTTTGAGAGTTGAGCATTTATCCAGTTGGTGAATGTCCTTTTCTGAATCTGTTCATGCTCCACTGTTTAGGAAACGGACAAAAGAATTGTTATCAATACACTTTCAGAACAGGATGTATTCAAATTATCAATATAGTTATGAAGCACTGGATAATAAACATAAAATAAAAAAACATAATTCTTTACAATTCATTCTTTATGGATTTTGGAAGCTTGTGTTTGCTGGCAGTAGCAAATAGGTTTAATTTATTATTATTTTCTCTCAGTCCCCTTAATCTATTTATCCCTGCTCAGCATGGTCACATACATGCAATCATGTTTTGCAAACAGTGAATAAGCTCAAATAAAATACACTTATGCTACTAACATAATGCCATATGAATGCCATTAGAAAAATGCTTTTATGTAGTTTTGTTTCCAAAAAGGGAAATGCAAACACAGTCCAGCAGACGGATTTATATAAATGTTCCTCTTATTCACAATCAAAAAAGTTGATCTAAAACTGCAGTTTTTCTAATTCTGTGAACACCAACTAATGAAAACAAATGTATAACGCACATGTCAAATACATTAAGTATATTCCTCAAATCAACCTGACTCTCAAACCCTGTATGCTGCTGTAGTCCATAATCCAGAAACTCTATAGCAGCAGTGGGAAGCCTGATCTGAGCTGCAGGTAGGTCATAAGCTACTCACCAATATCAGAGGACTGAAGGACTTTTTGACCCTCCATTCTTATAACTAATAGTGAAAAAATCCATGTATCATGAGTGAAGAGACTACTTTAAACAACATATAACTGCCTTCTCCAACACTAGATGACCCAGAGTGGCAGGCTTTCCTCTTTAAGCTGAAGTAAGGCTACCGGCTGGAATCTGGCTACAAGACGGGATGGCTTCCAAGACAGCGACAGACATAGATACTGACGCTCTCACACACAGCAAATATACACAGAGACAAACTCACGGCTATAATGAACCAGCAGACAGGCATATGCACACAGAGTGAGGGGATTTTGATCATACATGGTTCTTGAGAGGTACCAGATCTTTAGCTTCTGTTGCCAAAACATTAACCTTTACTATATATAACATTATTACAGTATTATGGAAGAGACAGAAATATAAGTTTTGGTGGCTTTGTGTCTTTATTTGACAGGACAGCTTAAGATAGAGAGAGGGGATGACACACAGAAAAAGGCCACAGGTTAGACTTAAACCCATGGCCGCTGCAGCAAGGACTTTGATACATGGGGCGCGAGCTCTACCAGGTGAGCAAGGACACCTCGAAAGTGACAGAAATCTTAAATAAATTTGAAATTACTTATGGAAATTGCCACTTTAGATTGTAGACCACGTTTGGAGCCAGGTTTGTCCACTTTAGCTTGAAGATTATATTGATAGTATATGGAGCCAATGATCATCTGGGTACACGTAAGTCCTTTTGGTGTCCATATTTTACAGAATTTTGTGTTTATAATCCACTGAAAGCATAATAAAACTGTCTGCTTTATAGATACTCGGGCTGGCTGGTAGGTGGAGCTGGGAGGATCGCCTGCCTTACCTGCCCATGTAGGTGTGACTCCTAGAAAGTTATAGAAGACTGCCCTTCTTGTTCTTCCTAAACAGTACAGCCCACACCACCCTCCCCCACACTTAGTCACTCCCACTGTGATGTAAATGTCACTTGGCATACAGAGCATCTTATTCAGGTTTTCCTTTGTTTACTACACTGTTCTGCACTTTAAGTTGTATGTTATATTTTAGTTATATTTTGTATTTTCATTTTTATATTTTAACTTTATTCTATTCTTCTATTTGTGTGTTGTGTAAAGGGACTTGGGCAAAGTAAGATTTTCATTGTACGTATAAACCACTGTGTTTCTTACTGTACATATGACAATAAACCTCTTGAAAACTGAAAAATTTAAAATTCTGGGAGTTGCAGTATCTCTCTCAGCCTGACCTACAGCACAAGCCCTCAGCACTCTCCCTTGTTTGGTTTGCTGCACCATCCAACACACATTTCACTCACCCACACACCTCTAACATGACTGATATACTGATCTTTTTTGACTGATATCTCTGTGTGTGGCCTCCCTTTTTGTTGCCAGCCATGAGTCAGTTAGTAACAATGTCCAATGTTGAATTTATTTATTCCTGCTGCCATTAAGGATAAATTGTAAACTCACACAACAGTCTCTTTTCCTGCAGAACAAACATGACTTGAGTACAAACAAGCTGTTGAGACTATTTTATGATTTATGATTCAGTCTATAGTGAACTGAGGAGCTTGATGTTTTGTCTGCGGCAGGCAGAAAAACACAGTTACTTACAGATGAACTCACTCTTGTATATCAGTGAGTGAGTTGTTTGTTTAAGAGCCTGCCAAGGCAGGAAACTCTTTCTTACTCTCTCATTTTAATCACTCGACTCCACCCAGATCACCTGACTTGCCCAATTCAAACAGCAGTAAGAGGCTTCAACATGTTGATAATAACTTCCTGCTTCAGGCCATTGTAAGACAGCGCCAGTAAAATATGTTTTCTCAGGTCAAATTACAATCATTGATCTTTACACGTTTACAACAAATATAATGCGAACATGATTTAATTCTGTGAGAGTATGTGTACATGTAGATAATTTTGATATTTTACCATGTGAATTATTTTTACTGTTATACTCAGGAACTTGGCATTGTTTATTTTGATGCATTGTCAAAACTTTATTTCTGATATTACCTGATGCACAGTACAAACCTTATTTTAAAGTACATTATTGGTACTGGACACTGATGAAACCACAGCTGTATTTAAAAGCACAGCTTCTTACAGCATTATATTATGACAACATTCTGCACATCCATCAAAATGGAGATTTTCAGCTCACATACAACATATACTCCCTTTTAATACTTAAACTGTTTACAGAGATGCAACACTTAATTCAACAGCTGCATGTTTAGTAAAGACAAGATTTACCTGTATGTTCACTAACTAAATCATTTGTCCGATCAATGAATGGGGTGACTTTGGAGGCAATTACTCAGACCAGTTTGAGCAATTAAATGTTTCATTTATATAATTATTTATATAATTGTGTCACATGCAAGGCGGTGTGGCTCAGGTTTTCCTGTGTCAGCATGAAGGGCTGAACAACAATATCATTAACTGCATTTAAAAAAAAAACATGTATTCTTTTATACTGCTAATGACACAAAGGATATACCGAATTAAATTAAAGAGGAGAATAGAAATGGAGCAATATAGGTAGATAGATATTATGAAAGTCCTGATTCTTCTAAAATTGAAAAATGAAAGTAAGGACAGAAGCTGCAAAAATCCCCTCAATAATAATATATCAAACAGTTTTTTGTAAACTGAGATGTCACAGATTCCCTCTTCCATATGTAACTGAGGGTACAGCAGTTAACTAGATTACTTTAAATGTCAGAGAAGTAGTGAACTAGCTTAACCTGACTGTTAACATGTCATTCAAAATCCAGTTATCGTTTCCACCACTTTCATTTTCACTTTTTAGGCATTTCATTAGGTTGTGTACATATTAAATGTCATAACAGATTGATTAAATAGCATCTCCTCAACACAGTTCGTAGTTGGGCCACCAGTGTGATTCCCCACCACAGCACATCACATGACACAGCATCCACAAAAGTACAGGAATAGACTGACCTTGGAGGAGCATGTGCACGTTGTCAATGTCCAATGGAATTCCTCCATCGTCTTCCTCGGCTCCACCTGAAGCCATATAGTCTCCAACCACAGCACGAGATCAACCTCAGAAAGTTCCAGGAGACATTGATAAGTAAATCGTCCACACTAGTAAATCTAGTAAAGCTAACAGTGCTAAGGATAAATACTGTGGTGTCAAATTTTTGTTACTTAGCTCCCTCCTCTGCTTGATAAGTCACGTTACAGAAAGAACACACCCATCCACACCCTTACATTACCACAGACACACACACATACAGATGCAAGTAGACACATGCAAACACTTAAACAAAGAGCTCAAAGAGCAGGAATAGCCGTGCTGTTTGGAAAAAGCCAACACCACACTGCCATAGATATGTATGTATGTAGATATACAAAAATAGATCACATCTGTTCACAGATCTTCAGCCTACCTGTAGCAGGGCTGTACTGAAGACAGCTAGTGCAGCATATTGCTTTACAATGAAGAACCCAGCAGAGTGTGTACAGTGTACAATAAATGTCCTCAGCTGTGCCCTTTCATACTGGCACAACTCTGCGTATATTCACTGTGTTGAGTCCCTTCAAATAGGACTTGGCCTTTAGGTGCTCATAAATGAAACAAGGTGCCTCTTGCCTATTGGAGCGTGATGACAAAAAAAGTGTGGAAAGTCCCGCCCACGCTGACTGCAGGCCCAAATCACTCCTACAGACTCTCATACAAACTTAATATCCTCCAGCTAAAAAGTAATCATATCCTCACAAATCCAGTCGATTTGGTTCTCAGCTTGGTTTGCAAAAGCAGATCATTGTTACCAGTGTTTCAGGAAACAAAAACACAATAAGTTTCACTACTTATATCTTTTTTCTGTTTTCCTTTTCTCCCATTTGCCTGTGAGCTAGTGCAATAGTGTAACAGCTGAGAAACAAGGTCACAGGGAAGAACTTTGCATTAATATGAAACTGTTTCAGGTTCTTTTTAGGGGTCATTCCAACTCATGATTTCGCAATATACAGTATTTATTCATTTATTTATATACCGTATTTATTAAAAATCTTATTTTGCTTTTCATATTGAGTTACAGCAACCTTCTAAGGCTTTTCAATTGAAAAGTATAGACTCATGATTGAATTAAAATGAAATCAGGAGCCAAAATATATCTTTATTCATTTACTTCACCTGAAGAGAAAGAGGGTGCACAAACCGCAGAGCAAGTTACACAATGGCATCTTTACCCTTGAAAGCATTGCCAGTGTTTTATTTGTTGTTTCACTATGGTGAGCAGGCAGAGGTGGACAGTCTGTCTGCCACGTAGCAGCTGCACCCTCACCTCAAATT